AGCCAGGTAAGGAACTACTCTTTCCCTCCTCTTACAGGCCCATCAGCCTACTCTCAGCTGTGAGCAAGGTAGCCGAGCGAGTCATCTTGAGAAGAATAGAAGAGGAAACCGAAGAGCTCCAAATCATCCCGGATGAACAGTTCGCGTACAGGACAGGACATAGTACGGAACTCCAAGTGCTCAGGATCACCGAAGAAGTCACCAAAGGTTTCAACCAAAGACAGGTCACGGCGGCACTACTCCTGGACGTTGCGAAGGCTTTCGACAGGGTCTGGCACGATGGTCTACTAGCTAAAATGATGAGTATGGGTTATCCCATTGCACTCGTCAAACTAGTTAGATCATACCTGCACGGGAGACAGATGCGAGTGAAGATCAGGGACTGTGTGTCCACGTATCGACCGATGGAAGCCGGAGTCCCCCAAGGCTCTGTGCTGTCACCCCATCTGTTCGCTGTCTTCACCTCTGATCTCCCAAGGGCCGAAGGCACCGCAATGGCACTCTACGCGGACGACACGGCCGTCACGGCCAGATCCTGGAGTGCGAGAACAGCCACCAGAAGACTCCAAGAGGCAGCCTCTCTTCTGGAAGAATGGTGTATCAAGTGGAAAGTCGCAGTCAACGCGGAGAAAAGCCAGACGATTCTCTTCAGGAAAGGACGCAAGGAAACTCCCACAGGACACGTCTCAATGTTCGGCGAGGACATCCAATGGCACGATTCCGTCAAGTATCTTGGCGTAATCATGGATAAAGGCCTGACATGGAGACAGAACACCGAAGCCATCGTGGTAAAGGCCAAGCGGACGAGAGCTCTCATCTACCCGATGGTAGGGAACCAGAGCAGGCTCAGTCTGAGGAACAAGCTTCTGCTAGTCAAAGCACTCATCAGACCACAGCTGACCTACGCCTCCGTAGCATGGGGATACCAAGCGAAGACCTATCTGAAGAAGATCCAAGCCGTGGAAAACGTGGCCATCAGGACAGCGGTGGGCGCACCATGGTACGTTAGAAACGCTGACATCTTTAGGGACCTGGAGTACACACCAGTCACCGAAATCATCCGGGATAGAGCGAAGAAACTGTACACCTTAGCTGAGGAGCACAGGAACCCGCTGATCAGGGAGGCCACCTCCTATGATCCGGCCGACGCACCGAGGCACAAGAGGCCGAAGGTACAGTTACTGGATAACGGGTAAGTATAACTAATCCTTTCCTTACAGATGGACCAAACCCACTGAAAAGACATGACACGACCAACCACCCTCCCACAAACCTTGCGGGCGCCGGTCAGTAAACCGACCAGTGCCCGTTGTCCCCCTGGCTCCGTGAAGGACGAAAGTGCTAAGAAAGCACTTAGGCCTTCACCTCCTAAACTACACAGTTCATCCTCACCTTGTCCGATGATCCAGATGACAATGTGTCAATTGACACTTTGTGTACTGGCAGTCAATCCCAAGTCACAGAATATCCACACAGTCCCTGACAGACAGATGACTACCCCCGGGGGTGACAAGCTGGCGAAGAAAGAAGACGAAGACAGAAGAGCGCCAGAAGAGGCCCTAGCCAGCAGGGTTCATCAGCCAGGACCCAGGGAGGTTGACCGAAATCTTCGGCACCGCTCACATTTGTGAGTGGGGCCGTTCGTAAAGTAAGTTAACCCGCCCTGCACGAGGCCGGTCCAGGTCTACAGCGATGACTAGGGTAAAAAGGCAATAGTCCTGCCTGGCCCTAGCATCCGAGACCGTCATCATGCCAAATGGATATTGGGGGGGTCATTTAGAATAAATCGGAACGGTCTCATGGCACACTTAAATGGAAAACTAAAAATTATATCACTTATTTGGTATCGTTGGATTTAGAAAATTACGCAGAATTCAAAAATGCTATAATATACAGGGTGTTCCATTTATAAATCGAAAGTTAGTACCACTTCCGGCGAAACCGGAAGTGAAAAAAAATCAATTGTATGTCAGAAAGTGCCACTTATTATGTATATCGCATATACATCCTAAATATCAATCAATTATATTTAAAACTAAAGGAGATGATCCTGTCATACCCAGTATATTTATAAATTTAAATTTGAAATAATTTTTTATTTATAAAAAATTTAACATTTAAGATTTCTATATTAAATTACTTTTCTTAGACACACAGTGTACTATACTATATTTCAATAAGCAATTTGGCATCATCAGCAGATAATTAAAACTGTTTTAATCAACTTAGTTGGTGTATCACATTAGCGGTTCCCCTGATGCCCCTGGGATTCACTAAACACGCTCATCGTGAATTCTCCATCGATAAAAAGGGCATACTACCATTCTCTTATTTACATAATAGATATTTTATTTGAAATTTGCAGATGAAATTTAAAATTGATAAATACGCCTGACAAAAAAAATGAATGTAAATTACATCTCCTTAAAGAAAATGGAGCCCATAACGATATTTCTTTTCATAGAACACTAACCAGTGATATGGAAATGAAGCACATCCAAATCATGATGCGTCTCTCACGATAACCCAGGCAAATAGTAAAATAGAGAGAAGGCTTAGTAAAGATAAGAACATGAGGAGCTAGATAAGTGGAGCAGCAAGTAAGCACCTTCCACTATTGTTCCTATGAGGGGTGTCAAGTGGTCACATTTATTTGTTGGTTGCGGTTCAATCTTCATATAAGAAAGAAATGTGACAAGCGGAATATGTCCCCAGAGCGGGGAGTGGTCTCTCAATCATACTTTTATCTGGCTATATACGAACACTTCTATTATTTACACGCTGTTTCGCAACTCACTCAAGAGGGCTCTAAATTGAAACGATTTATTGTTATCAACGAAGGGTAGCTTTATTATTTCGATTGATGAGATTCGAATAGCTCGATTTTTATTTGGTTATTCATAGTCTCAGTCATAATTACTATCGAACTAATTTTTCCAGTTAATTCAGGATTCACCTGCTATAAAATATGTTGCATGTAAGATAACAAAAATATATGCCATGAAAAGTATTTGGTTAATGATTAATTAAATTTAACAATATTTGTAATACATTTCAAGAAAAACGTGTAATAAAACGGACTCAAATTTTTTGCCAACTACGAATTACAAAATTTCGACACTTTTCGACACTTTCAGTGCTGAAGCACTGAGCTTCAAGCACACTCCGAAGTTAATAACTGATGATTTTACAGCAATTGCTTTGATTAAGTGCTTGGTAATTAGTAATTTAGTGAAAAGGCTCAAGTCTTCTACGAAAGGCTCAAGCACATCTGCAACACTTCAAGCCATTTAAAAGTGCTCCAAGTCCTTTAAAAGTGCCTCAAGCTCTTTAAAAGTGCTCAAGGTCTTTTAGCAATGCTTGAAAACCATTTCAAGTACCACCTAAATAGAAAATATTGAAATAAAACTAGTCTGAACTTGAGTTTGTTTATACCTTTTTTTGTTAGATAATAGTTATTTACACAACAAGATCGGAAAGTGATTCTTTAATGGAGCCCTCGGTGAGCCCAATAAAGACACTTTCCTTTTGTGTTGGGTACAATATGGTATATTATTTGCAACCATTCTTGCTAGTCTCAACATAGAACTTTAGACTTGACTTTGCAAACAAAATTCATAAAATTCAACTGACGAATGTCAGATACTTACTTTTGAATATGACTAATCCAGTCTTATTAATCATTTTTAATTGTTATCAGAGAACTGTTGTCTTGAAACGTTTTCTTAAGTTAACTTAAGGTAACGTCTCTCAAGTCACCGAAGTAACTCCCAGAAAATCCTAGGATTTTGTGTTGAGTAAAGAGAGACGAGGCCCTACAGTTCATTGCGGAGTGCGAACCACATCTAGGGAATCGACAATTCCCTTTCCCATCTTGGTCCGAAACAAATTACAAATAAAATTTCTTGCTCCAGGATGGAAACGAACCATCGACCGTCGGTACCGCGTAAATAGCTATAAGCGCTTTACACACTTCACCATGCCTCTATGTTGTTTAATTAGATACCTACCCTATTGTTGTCAGCCAAAAGTGACATATGGGTGCGGTAAAGACTTTATCAATCCCTTGTGTCACTTTACCGAGCTAGACTAGGAAATACATATTTTCCACAAACCGTTAATTTTCTAGACGGTTGCGGAAAACTAAATTTTAAAGTTTTCTATTGAAGATGGGCGAAAAGAGGTAAGAAAAAAGTTACTCAAAATCAAAAGTCGTGATCTGTACAAAGTTCTAACTAATGTACAAAGGGAAACAATTTTTAAAAATTTTTGTGAAAGTAAGCGGATTTTGCTAAAATTGTATACAGTGATAGACATAGCTGCTGATTGAAAATGATTTTTATTTATAAGTTATTCGAATAAGTTCTATGGAAAACAGCTAAAATAAGCCAAGTTTTTTTTTAACGTATTATTTATATTAACGTCCTGGTGGAGTTTAGCACACTGCTATTCCACCACTCAACCAGGAAAGACATACACACAACAACCATTCCCTCCGATATTTGCCAGAAGCCGCTGCTAAGACTCGAACTCGGGAGAGATAGACAGTGACTAGCTGTGTTCTGCCATACAACAACGCTATAGCCAACTGTGCAATCGTCTCGGTATTTTAAAAACGTCACTATATATCCATGGCCCAACCAGGATTCGAAGCCAGGACCTTTTTTACTCAAGCCTTCCATACTACTCAACAATCCTAGCTTGACACTTGGCCGTGCAGAGAAGAAATATCGCTAGTGTGGCACAGAGACTAGCAAACCGCTTTACATTGAAAGGGCGGGGTTTAGACCATTGTACATCTAAGCTCAAGTGCAAGCTCGGATAATTGAGTAGTGTAAGCACTGAGCCGACGTTTCAACGATAATTCTTGCTTCTTTTTTTTTAAGAAATACAAATATGGAAGCCCACATACGACTCATCCTACGTAGGGATGAAAAATATGTTATCTCATGCCCCATGTATGTGGTAATGGATATTATTACACTACCACGTAAATCAGTGGTTTCGTGGTCGAGTGGTAAGGACACTTACCTCTCATCCAAGAGTCCCGGATTCGATCCCCGGTCAAGAAGCTTGGATTTTTCTAAACCAGGAATTACTCCTAGTATTCTCGGACACTGAGTGTGTGTCCTTTGTCTCTAAATGTATATTCCTCTCCCATACAAGGTACCTTAAGGTACCTTCAGAGATACAGGGGGTTGTATTACTTGTGGTATTTAATTAATTATAAAATTTATAGGATGTAATGTTTATATGATGGACGGTGAACGTGTTAAAATAGCAGATCACCTTTTGTGCTATTGCCTTTGATAAAAACATGTTGAGGTTGAATAAGTGAATAATAATAATAATAATAATAATAAGGTTTATTGAAATCCAACAGATAAAACTGTCAATAAATAGGATACAAAAACATAGCAAATTACAGTATATCATTACAAATATAATTTAGCGCAGCAAAAATCTATAGCTAAACATTAAAAAAATAGAACATAGAAAATAGAAGTGCGACAGACACAGCTGTCAAAATACAGGATATGCTCAAAGGACTTAGTTAAGTCCATGATATTACACAAAAAATAAAAGCTAATATTTAACAAAGTTTAAGTAAAAAAAAACATTAAATGATGGAGATACGAATAATATTAAATAATATACATGAACGGCGTAATCAACAATAGTCAAGGTCAAAATGCAGAATTAGTTAAAACAGCTTCTTTAAGCGAACGTGAAAAATGCGTAAAATTATCACAAAATATATCAACAAAATTCTGCAATTCACTGTATTGTCTAGACATAAAAAGTAATGGTGAATTCATGTGCTGATTGGTGTGGGGTGTATCATAAATAAAGATTGAAGGTTGTCTAGTACCAAATCTAGGTATATTAATATGCACCTGATCTAAGAATTGAGGGTTATCAATTTGACCATGGATAATTTTGTACAAGTATGTAATGTTCGTTACTTTACGCCGCACGAATAATGGCTCGATTTAAAATTCATTTAATAAAGCCCTATAGCTATAATTCTGCTCGGGGTATCTTTTATGCTTTATGAAATACAAGTATTTGCAAAACTTACGTTGTATACGCTGGAGCATCATAATGTGAATATTATAGTATGGAGACCAAGCAACACTACAGTACTCCAATCGACTTCTGACAAAAGGAGAAATATAATATCTTGAGACTTTCAATACTTGTGAACTGTTTAGTGTTCCTGATTATAAAACCTAGGATTTTTAGGCAATGACTATTAATATATTCATAGTGGGGAATAAACGATAATTCAGGGTCTAATATTATACCTAGATCTTTTTCTGATGGCATCGTTGCAGAATAGAGTCACCTATTTTGTAATTATATTCTAACATGTTTTTTTTCCTTGAGAACGTCATTGTTTCACACTTATTAATGTTCAAACCTAATTTATTCTGTGAACACCAAGCGTACAGGGAATTAATATCATCCTGTAATGTATGGCAATCTTGCTCACTATTTATTACTCTTACTATTTTCAAATCATCAGCATAGAGAAACATATGAGAATTTATAGACTTCTTAATGTCGTTGACAAACATTATAAACATAAGCGGACCTAAGTTGGATCCCTGCGTTACCCCGCTTGTCGCACAATATATATCAGATTTGAAACCTTTGTATTCTACATAGTTTTTTCAATCAAGTTAACAAGGAATAAAACAGTTGTGTTAAATTTTCACATAATACAAACTATCGAAGTTTATTTATAATAATACCATGGTGTACCTGATCAAATGCCTTAGTGAAATCGGTGAAAATTACGTCAACTTGAAATCTATGAAGACACTGATGCGCAAAAAAGGTCACCTTGAGACCGATGGAGAGATGACCTAATACAATATTTTATTTTCATCCACATTTAGACCCATTTTTCATTAACTTATCAATGATAACTTCACAATTATTATTGTTAAAAAATTTATAAATATAGAAGGAATCATCATTTTTATTGTAAAATTTAAACTAAAACAATGTAACAGTGATACAATTTTAAAAAGACAGAACAGTTCCGTTTCCCGTGACTATTCGCGGTCTTAGACTTGGCGCCCTCAATCTGGATTTAGATGGAGCGTACGAGATATCATTGAAGGCATCAGTTGTTGACTGTATCTCGACAGCACTTTGTAGTTCATATACCCAAGACAATTGTCACGCAGGGGCGTTTTCTACAATTTTCAACGAAACTTTTATTTAACTAAAAAAATCTAAGAATCAGCTTGATTAATTAACAGAATTCTAAATTTTGTTCAAACATTTATAAATATTGCAATTTTTATAGATAACTGATTTTGGTGAAAGATCAGGGTAAAACTCTGGTAATACTACATTAGTATTACACATTGGTTTATATTCTTGGTATTGTTCACATCTGTCAAGATTTCCCTTAAAAGTCAACACAGTAAATTATAATTTACATATTACACAATGCGTCCATGAAGTACTGCACAAATAAATTTTCAGCTAGAATGATTAAATTAATGAAGTCCCGAGACAGGTCAATTTTGTATCCTAATTGCGTATATTTTGAAATTGAACTCCAACTCTCCAACAGATTAGTATATGTTCGATTTGATAAACAACACGGTTAGTTCATAATTTCATAGAAAACTAGGCGCAAGATTTAGGTTAGGTTAGGTTAGGTTTGTTGTGAGTGGGTCTCAGTAGACCCTCCACTGCGGCCATCAGCAGGCCTATTGTGGCTCACGCCTAATTATATTTCACCCAATAAGTTCAGTCTCTTAATGAAACTGATAACTTTATTGGGTGAGAATGTGTCCAGATCCTCTGGCAGTAGATGCCCTTTGCTAAATATTGAGAATCGGATCCTCTCCACAGCGGGACAGGTGCATAAGATGTGGTCTGCCTTCTCATCATCCTCCAGGCATAGACGGCACTCGGCGTTTTCCGCTAGGCCTAGTTTATGCAGATGATAGTTTAGTCGGCAGTGCCCGGTATATAGGCCTGTTAGAGTTTTCAGGTTTATCCTGTTTAACTCTAATAAAAGTTTCTTAGCTCTCGATTTCAAAGGGTATTTTATAAACGCATTCGAATGAACTAATCCTGGTAACTCTTGCCAATACTGGAGAGTTTTCCTTTCAGCCCAGGTTGAGATAGCCATCTTGGCAGTACCTGAGGATATGCCAAGTATTGGTTCTGGTCCGATGAATCGTGATCTCGCTCCTTCTCTGGCTAAGGAGTCCGCTATTTCGTTACCTTCCATACCAGAGTGGCCGGGTATCCAGACCAGAGTCACTTTGTTGTTCTTGCTCAAATGATTTAGAGCTTTCTGACAGTTCCATACCGTTTTGGAGTTACACCGGTAGGAGCCAAGAGCTTTTATAGCTGCTTGGCTATCTGAGAAAATTTTTATTGATCTGCGTGTAAGATGCATATATTCCAGCCTCCGTACACACAGTTCAATGGCATGAACCTCAGCCTGAAAAACAGTTGCATGAGTACCTAGGTTTGAGACTATCCTTACCCTTGGTCTGTAGCTGTGTACTCCGGCTCCTGTTCCCTCGGCAGTTTTGGAGCCGTCTGTAAACCAATAACTGTCTGCCTTCAGTAGGTCGGCTTTATTCCGATCCCACTCATCTCTTTCTGGAGAAAGGATGTTGAAGGTCAGCTCGTAGTTGGTCATAGTAGGCATAGTATCCGAGGGCATTCCCAGGATGCTGTGATTCTCTATGTCATCCAACAACTTGTTCCGCTCCATGATACTAGTCTGCGGCATATTAATGGCCGCTTGTTGCAGTCTGTAGGTTGCCCACCTGGCCTCTCTCTCTCCAGATATATATGAAGAGGGGGTAAATCCAGGAGGATTTCCATTGCAGCTGACGGTGTGGTGCTAATTGCTCCCGTTACGGTCATGCATGCTAATCTCTGCAGTCCAGAGAGTTTGGATTTCGCCGTCCGTTGTAATCCTTTCGGCCACCAAACAATGGATCCATATGTTATCATTGGTCTGATGACCGTGATATAGATCCAGTAAATTTGTTGGGGACCCATGCCCCAGGATTTGCCACAAATACGACAGCATGTCCATAGGGACAGCTTTGCTTTGTGGATTACCTTTTCCAGATGGGAGTTCCAATTAAGTGATTTATCCAGAGTGATTCCTAGATATTTCACCTCCTCCACAAATGGAATAGTTTCACCCATTAAAGTGGGAGGTCTTAAGTCCCCCAGCTTCCTTTTCCGGGTGAATGGTACTATTACTGTTTTTTGAGGGTTTAGAGACATCTGTTCCCTGTCGCACTAGTTACTCACTGCAGGCGCAAGATTTAGGCGGAGAACACAAATGCGCGATTGCGACCCAATCACAATAGCGGTGGCGATCGCGTTGGAAAGTAAACATATATATGCGGTGGCAATCTACAATTGCCCCATTTAATTTTCAAAAAAAAAGGTGTATTTAATGCACAATCAGATGAAAAATAAATAGAAACGTGCAGTTTACAACAAGGCCGCAATATTGGATGATAAAAACAGCAACACAATTAAAAAAAATCAGTTCTTATTCACATATTTACTAAAGACGCATCAGATCGCCAACGCCTACGATATCGCGATCGTGGTTGCGATCGCGTGTATCTGTGTCCCCCTTTTGGATTTCTTTAGGAAATTTAACTTATAACTTAAAAATTGTTACGATTGTTGAGTGGTGAAGATACCGCCTTTCACTCTTGAGTCCCGGGATCGATCCCCGGTCGAGGAGCTGGGATTTTTCATTTCCTAAATTAAGAAAATGCGTTTAAAAGACGTTTCAAATGGTGTATTAAAAGTTGGGTATTCTTCTAGGAAAACATTTACCATCGCGACGCCTTAACCTCTCTTTGAAAGCTATTTGTCGAATAAACAGACACAAAATGAAAAAAAGCATTTATATACCTTAATCCTCAAACTTTGATCGCTCTGTATAAGATTTGGAAATAAAATAATTTTTATCATTGTGAATAATCAGTTGCCGGATTTAAAGCAAAAGCTGTTCTAATAATATTTAGAGATATCTCGGCTGGCCACTAGACCGTCTTCCGGGACGGGAATATATCTGGAAGACAAAGAAGTACAGGAGAGCTTTGCTCTAGGCTCGTACACCACGGTCTTCCAGGCAGAGGTTTACGCCATCCTAGCGGTGGCAGGTAGGGCTGAGGTTAGGAATGGGGCGGAACAGATAATATATATCTGCTCCGACAGCCAGGCTGCTCTAAAGGCGGTGTACTCCCCCAGGACGAGATCAGCTCTCGTCCAGGAGTGTGGGGATGCCCTAGAAGAGCTGGCCAGGCATAAACAAGTGAGACTGGTATGGGTCCCGGGACATATGGGAGTTCCAGGCAACGGGAAGGCCGATGAATTGGCTAGACTCGGAGCCGAGGAACCCTGTCACGGGCCTGAGCCTATGTTAGGTATTTCAACAAGGCAGGTCACAACGGCCCTCAATGAGTGGGCCCACGGGACACTGAGGACGCATTGGAGGACCAACAGGGCCTGCAGGCAAACCCGAGATTTTGTGACGGGGCCGAACAAATCGAGATCGGCCTGGTTGCTGGGACGGAGTCGTAAAACTCTGAATCTCTTAATCGGTGTTCTGACAGGCCACTGCAGACTTAGGAGGCATCTATCATTGATAGGTATTGAGGAAGACCCTACATGTCCAAGATGCAGGATTGATGAAGAGACATCTTACCACTTCCTGGGACAATGTGAAGCGTTTGGGCGCCTGAGACACAGTATCTTCGGTTCTGAGGCGCTTCTAAGGGAGGAGATGAGCTTCCTCGCAATGAGTGACATCCTGACCTTCATCAGAGGGTCGGAAAGATTCGATGAGGGAGCAAGAGAAGCACATGGCTGAGGGGACAGCTGGGGGTTGGTAAAAAGGGCCCGTCTGTGACCTACTTGCCAGGCATCAGCCTCCCCCACCATTACCATTACCATTACCATTACTAAAGCCGAGTCCGATCGCCAACGCCTACGCTATCGCGATCGTGGTTGCGATCGCGTGTATATGTGTCCCCCCTTTGGATTTCTTTAGAAAATTTAACTTATAACTTAAAAATTGTTACGATTGTTGAGTGCTGAAGATACTGCCTTTCACTCTTGAGTCCCGGGATCGATCCCCGGTCGAGGAGCTCGGATTTTTTCATTTCCTAAATTAAGAAAATGTGTTTAAAATACCTTTCAAATGGTGTATTAAAAGTTGGGTATTCTTCTAGGAAAACGACCATCGCGACGCCTTAACCTCTCTTTAAAAGCTATTTGTCGAATAAACAGATACAAAATGAAAAAAAGCATTTATATGCCGTAATCCTCAAACTTTTATCGCTCTGTATAAGATTTGGAAATAAAATAATTTTTATTATTGTGAATAATCAGTTGCCGGATTTAAAGCAAAAGCTGTTCTAATAATATTTAGAGATATTATTTTTTAGAGTCAAATAGTGCCGAAAACGTCTCTGTTCTTTTACATGTGACACTGAACTTTAGTCCCAGTATCTCGCTCCCGTTGTCAGCATAGATATCTGAGCATCCCGGAGATTGTTAAAAATTGCCATACTAAAAGTTACGAGTATCTCCATAAAACGACTGTATTTGTGGTACATTACCTACATGCAAATTCCAATTTATGCTAATATGCACACTTATACTCGGCAGTGAAAAATTAGAAATACTTTGTGCATTATTCATACTCCACGAGGGCGCTAGCCTACCTATGTCTTTTATTTCTGAATTGTAAATTTAACATTTTATAGATGTGTATTAAAATTATGATATATGTTGGTAATAACAAGAAATATGTGTTAGAAATATATTTTTTATTTGTTATATCATCTCAGGCATCTTGAGACAAATGGCTTATAATATAACCGCGTCGCTCATATTTTAAACCGTTAGAGTTAAATTGATATGTAAACAGAGCCAATGGCAATGAGAATGGATCAAAATAAGTATCTCTTTAACGATGCCAAAGTACCTCTTTGTCAATTTTCTCGATTACCGACATCAAGAATAGTATACCGGATGTCACTGACTTATGGTTCACTCGTTTTTTTTTTTTTTTTTCACTTAGATAAATGATGTTATATATCGTCAATACAAAAATAGAAAAATATTACTTGACATAAAAAAAGTATTTATCATTTCCGGTTTCAACGGAAGTGATAGTAAACGTTCTAATCTATTCTCCGTTGAAACCGGAAGTGATAAATACTTTTATGTCAAATATTGTTTTTTTATTTGTGTATTGATTGTATATAAAATCATTTTTCTAAATTAAAAATCAAACAAAAAAAAGGGGGTGAACCATATCTCAGTGACACCCGGTGTAAGTAACAACAAATATAAGTTTGGTGAAACCGATGACAGAATTATGCCGATGGCCGATGTTTGAACTTTGAAGTTAGGCCACAATCAAAAACAATAAACACATAAATAAATCTTTATTTAATAAAGGCACTTAAATTATAAAATATGATAGCTCCCTGTCATCGGACCTCTCTGTCTAATTTGCATAAAGTTTTGCACGTAAAGGCTTTTTTCCGCAACACGTGGACGATCGAGGTTTGTGGAAATCGAAAGATTCGTCTTTTCTTCAGTCCGTAGCGATATTTGGTTCCATAATTTCCGAAAATGAAAAAGATATGAAATTTTGAAAATACCTCTGCGCTTTGGTACTTGTCGCAGCTTCCTAATACGTGATAGTCGCCTCTCATGGGATCCTCTCTCTATAATTTGGGCAAAAATTGTGCACGCAAAGGCTTTTTTCGGCTATAGATGAACGAACGGGGTTTGTGAAAATCGAAAGTTAAACTTTTCTTCAGTAGTGATATTTCGGTTTTTTAATTTCCACAAATAAATAAGATATGAGCACGTAGTACGAGAATAATTATGTTTTCATTGAAGACGGCAGCCATGTTGTCTCGAATTGTCAACCATTTTTAGGGTAAACGTCAAAAATGCCACTTTTCGTTCGCTCCTGACGGCTGAAATTTTGGATTTCGAGACCCTAATTTACTACGAGCGTAATCTCTGAACCTTTCCCCTTTTTTTCCTTATGCCCCCGGCGGCCGTGAGTTCCTTTTTAAAAAAGGCCTGAGCGTTTCAAATTTTAAAGTTTTAGTCTTCTCCCATCAATTTATTGAAATTAATTAAATGTAAATCTAGGAGCGTGGTATACAGTGGCCCAAAGAAAATTTAGTGCACCTGGTGTCCCAAATACAATTTTTTTTCCCCCGTTCCGGCTACATACCGGATGAGAAATCGATTGGTGACGTCGAAAAAAATATACGGAGTGTTTTTAATGCCGGAACCAAAAAATGATCGTTTTTTTCTAGAAAGGAACTTAGAAGTAACTTTTCCGGAAAAATAGTGACGTTTCGGGAAAGAAAGGGTCGCAGGCCCTTTCCGTGTAGATCGAAACAGTTTGACAAGTTTCCGGAAGGCCCCCTCTCATCGAACGCCGGGAGCGTTCGCAAAGGGCCGCAAGCCCTTTCGTCGAAGGCCGAAACATTTTGACAAGTTTCGGACTCGGAAATAGAGAGTCGACTTTTCCAGAAGGCCTCAGGCCCTCTCATCGAACGCCGGGGGCGTTCGCGCGGCGCTAAACTCGGCGCCGCGATCCGCAGGAGCTAGAAAACGCCATAGGCATTTTCTAGTAAAGAAAATTAAACATTGAAAAATAAAGGTATCCCCCACCCGGTTTGAGATACGGCTCCCCCAGTATCACACAGCCTAGGTCACAATTACCTACAACCAATCTTGAAGAGTTGGTCCGCGGTGGCGGCCTTCGATAACCCTACCCAGTTTTTAAGCAGGGTGGAATCTCTTATAACCGCCACTAACCAGGTTGTCATTAGCAACCTAATGACAACCTGGCCGTCCTCCTATCCGCCACCTGGAGACGCGCCTGATAGGGAACTCACCCAACAGGTATAGTTAAGTACTTTAATAAATAAGAAATTTAAAAATGTATCTCTATTTTATAGGTAGATATGTAATAATAATATTAATAATACGTGTTTTTTGAAAAATTTTGTTATCCAGTGAAACCTCTTAATTTCACTGTAACAGCACCCACGTTATCGTTAATAATTTTTTTAATATTATAGATCGGAGGGCACCATTGATGCCACTGATTGCTTAGACCAATCTAAATGATATGGAGTGTAGAGAAGGAGAAACGTCTCCGTGTTAAAAAAATGTGATGGGATTTTCGATGGAAGAATAGGTGGCGCTGATTTACAGGAGGTATTCTACGTGGTTTTGTTTTTACTATTTTTATTATTTTTTTACGCTGTATAATTCTTTTCAACACCTACATAATATTATGTTTTCGTTAGTTTATAGAATCTGAAGCTAGTTTCAGAGATATAGTAAGTGTTTAACTTCATACTCAATCCCATAATACGATCAGCGCCACATCTCATACCTTACAGAATTCAGACCACATTTTGAACGTACCGTCCATAAGAGACGTTCCTCCTTCTCTACACTCCATACTAAATGATATCAAATCATTTGTCATAGGGTTTTATTTTAACCTCCATCTTTCTATGGGAAATCTAAAATTTTGTATTTTCTACAGGAAAAATAGTAAAAATTACATGAGAGAACATTTTCTTTAAATGTCAGTCGATATTTCTAATAAAGCAAGAAATTTGTTTAAAATTGAGTTTTTCATTCATAATTATTGTTTTGGGTCAACGTTTCGGGATGATGAAAAT